CTACTGCCGTTTGGACATGAGGTCGGTGTAAATGTGCCCAGGGTTTTATTTGCTGCTGCCCCCCCGCCTGCAAGGCTGGTATTCTCCCGCTGGCCGCCTGCTCTAAATATGGCCATGGCCAGTGTGTCAATAATCCCCCTCTTTAAGGGACCTGCAAACACTAGTGTTGGGACATTCTTGCTGTTCAGATGTCTAGCTGACGTCTGATGCTTAAAACGGAGCATGCTTTCATCCCTTCGTGCATTGTCGTAAGCCCCCGATGATTACTTTTAAAAGGGTGCCTCTGCTACGCAGGGAAACAGTTGCTGACCAAACGAGACACAGCTTGCTTGCTTCAGCCTTCTTGAATGCCTAGTCACTTCAAGTTTGTTCCAGCCTGACGAACCGGGACCATGTCTACCTTTGGCTACAGAAGAGAGCTCAGTAAATATGAAGACATTGATGAAGACGAGCTCCTCGCTTCTCTTACTGAAGAGGAGCTGAAAGAGCTGGAGCGGGAGCTGGAGGACATAGAGCCCGACCGTAACCTTCCAGTCGGACAACGACAGAAGAGCCTGACGGAGAAAACACCAACGGGGACTTTCAGCAGGGAAGCGCTGATGGCCTATTGGGAGAGGGAGACCAGGAAACTCTTAGAAAAAGAGAGATTGGGTGCGTGTGACAAGGTAAGACACTGAGGCATTTGCTGTTTCCTAGAAATATTTGGGCTTTGTCTTCCCTGACATAATCTTGCTCAAGTTTTTCATTTTCTTTCAGTCTCTTGTAGCATTTTTAAGAACATTGTTAGCCATACTTCTGTGTCTGCTAAAGTGCTGCGTGTTCGCTCAGGGAAGTTTTGCTCTCTGGAGGTACCTTAAAAGTTTAGTTGAGAACAGAAGAAAATCCTGTAAAAACTATACTGTTAGTGATTAAAATAGGAATACATTTTAATAACATTGCATGTTAGAAATCATTGCCAGGTAGCGATGTGGACTTTTGATTTTGTTTAAAAGCTAAAAAATTGACTTTTCCTTTCCTTTAAAAAAAAAAAAAATCAGTATTGATTGTTGAGAAGCACGTCAGGAAGATAATTTTGAATATATGTTTTGTCAGAAGTCGAGTAAGCAGACGCCAGGCTTCATGCTTGCTGGAAGGAAGCTGCATTGCAGTCAGCAGCTTATGTTGCTTTGTTCCTGCTGGGGGT